TTTTTTTGCTGAGGCGACAGGAGATATTTGCAAAATAGATGGAATAATGGACCAGTGCAAGTACCATCAGATACTGGTATACCCAGTGATTTGCGTATTATTGGTAAAGTATTCTACTACCAAGAAGATAATGACCCTAAACATTCATCTAACCTATGCAGAGATTACTTAACTAAGAAAGAAGCTGCTGGAGTCATTCAAATGATGCAATGCCCCCCCCCCATAGAGCCCCGATCTCAACCCAATTGAGCAGATCTGAGATTTGATAGATAAAATACATGACAAATAAGAAGTTACTTCCAAAGATATTTTATGGCTATGTATTAAAGACATTTGGAGCAAAATCCCAAAGGACACTTTGATTAAATATGTTGCAACAATGCCTGAAAGGCTGTCTGCAGTTATTAAAGCAAAAGGGAGACACACAAAATATTAACTGTTTGCTGAACTCAAGCATTTCCACTGAGTTTCTGTTGTACTAAATATGAAAATATTAACTGTTTGCTGAACTCAAGCATTTCCACTGAGTTTCTGTTGTACTAAATATGAAGATTAATAAAATTTTGATGTTTCACTTGTGACTTAATTTCCATTGTTCTTTGAAAGTAGCCTGAAATCTAATTTTTGACTTTGTCTTAACACTTTTGCACAGTACTGTAGGGCTGAAACTTTTTATGATTTTGGTATAATTTTGCACGGTCTTACATTAGCATATATTATATCTTTACTACCTTTTTATTTCAATACATATTTTTAGTTAACTAATCAAAGATTCAATTAACATTTCAAGCTATATGGATGTTGAATTTTTTTCAGACAGAATAACAGTATTTTATGACATTCAAAAAAAATTGTTTTATCTATCTTTATTTAAAACAAACTGTAGGTTATGAGTCACAGCGTCAAGCAGCAAATCGACTGGCAGAAGATATCCCCGAGTATGAAGAGGATTACCTGGATCTGTCTCTAGAAGAAGAAGAAGAGTTTTTGAAAAAGTACATGGCATTTTTGGAAATAGATGTATAGTATCCATTTTTGTCACTAACAAGGAAATATCTGAAACCTCAAGGCCCAGAAAAAACACATCTTAGGCACGTTACATGAAGTATGGGTCTAACATTTCGAATTTAAAGTTGTAAGCTAGTCTTATTATTTGTACAAATTTCAAAATATAATGTCTTAACAAGAGTCATACAAAAATATATTAACAATAGTGTTGTTAATAGTGTAATCACAGGAAGGTCTTAGGTGTTATAAACGTACAAAAACAAAATAAATGTAGGCCATTATATGTTGAAGTTTAGGTTTAGTGAAATAAGTTTCATAACTAATAAATTCTGTAAAAAATCCACTTACATGCTTAACTTTTCATTTAAGATGCTTTATGTTTACAATGGCTCTGATTCTTTTTTCACAGATTTGACTGTATTTTGAGTGAACTTTTCATAAAATATCAGGAGTATTTTTCTAACCTGTCCGTAGCTAAATCATTTTAGCATACCCAAGTGACCTTATATGATTGTAACTTCACTGTGTAAATAAAAACTTCTGACAGAAGTGAACATTTTGTGTTTCACATACTTGTACTTTGTTGAAGTGAACCTTTTGTTTCACATACTTATACCTTGTTGAAGTGAACCTTTTGTATTTCACTTACATCTACTTTGTTGAAATGAACCTTTTGTGGTTCACTTACTTGTACTTTGTTGAAATGAACCTTTTGTGTTTCACTTACTTGTACTTTGTTGAAATGAACCTTTTGTGTTTCACTTACTTGTACTTTGTTGAAGTGAACCTTTTGTGTTTCACTTACTTGTACTTTGTTGAAGTGAACCTTTTGTGTTTCACTTACTTGTACTTTGTTGAAGTGAATCTTTTGTGTTTCACAT